TCATGCCAAGCGCAAGTGTAAAGGATCAGAAACTACCCAGTGCAGCTCTCCGTAACTTTGCCACTGACCCCCCCTCCCCATTCTCCCTCCCCCCTAAAAGTTTGGTTGGTCTGGACTCACTTGTGGCCTTTGATTAAATTCCTAAGGGACCGGAAGAAGGCATTTCAACTTCAAAGGGTTAGGGGCATTGATACAAGAGCCACCCGCCCCAGCTCTGCCATGGCAGTTAGTGGTGGTGGTGGTGGCGGGGAGGCACTTCTGGGAGATGGGACCTGGCAACAGGAACTCACAGAGCAGCGAACGCTGTGACAAGTGTAGTCATCTCGAAATGGGTGCTGCCCCTTCCCCCAACACATCGGACTCTTGAGGGATGGGAAGACAACAGAAGGTGGGGACTCAGAAGCTGACTCCTTGTACACCTTCCGGGAAGGAGTCCGACCGAGGCTGAGAGGTGGGTGGGGAACCCGGTGTGAGGTTGTGTCTGATCTCTGGTACTAGCTTTCCCCCTGGGCACAGGAAGCCCTAGAAAGAGGGGACAGTAGGGCACCCCCCCCGGGGGGCCTCTTTCCTTCCTCCCCTGCATGAGGCAGAGGCAAGCTGCCTGCCGATCTCTCCCTCCAGGAATGGCCTTGCCTGGGAATGCCCACCACATACACCATCTTCTTTTGTTCTAGTCAAACTGTTTCTTCCTTGGCCTGCCTCCCCCCACCCTCCTCTCAACCTTTACTTCTGATTTCTATTTCATGGAATTTGGGATTGAAGTTAAGTTACAACAGTGCCGCCAACACCAAGTCTTGCAGGAAAAAAAAAATCAAAGAAATTTAACAAAAAAATATATTAATAAAAAAGTTCAAAACAGGGGGGGGACTGTCATCTCCTTTGGGGTGCGATGGCTTCAAACCCAAGCTGAAGCTCTCTGGGTAGAAGCTACTCCCTGGAAACTCCGAAGCCTTAGTTACGGATCCCGGGACTCTTTGAAAGAGCCATAGGGCGGGGCCGCGTGCTGGGGGGCGGGGAGAGGGGCGTGTCCGGAGAAGCCACGCCCCCACTCGGCCGAGTACCAGGAAGCACAGGGGCCCCCGCGAGCGGAGTGCAGACGGGAGCCAGGTGAGGCTGGAGTAGGGGGCAGGCCCCTGGGGTGGGGAAGCGCAGGCCGCCTGGGGTGGGAGCGGGAGGCGGGATCCCACGGAGGAAAAGGCGCAGGGCGCGGAAAGGGAAGGCGGGGCAGAGATCGAGATGGGAAGCCAGGTGTGCGTTTCCAGAAAGGAGAAAAGTGAGCAGGGCTCGTGCTTGCTCCCGGAGGAATGGGGCTGGGAAGGGGGCGGGGTGGCGTTTACGGCTGACGCATGCGTAGGGACGAGTGACCCCCGGCGGCGAGGGCGGAATCTCAGGACCCGGGCCGGGGAAGGTAAACTTGCCCTTGGCTGTAGGCTTGCAGTCAGCGCGACACAGACCCTCGTGGTCGTGGCACAGGGCACAAAGCCTGGCACACTCGCCTAGACAATGCCAAAGCCTTCTCCGGGCCCTGCCCCCCAGGATGGTGATGCCTTCGCTGAAGCTTCAGGACCTCATCGAGGAGATCCGCGGGGCCAAGACGCAGGCCCAGGAGCGGGAGGTCATCCAGAAGGAGTGCGCCCACATCCGCGCCTCCTTTCGGGATGGGGACCCCCTGCTCCGGCACCGCCAGCTGGCCAAGCTGCTCTACGTCCACATGCTGGGCTACCCCGCCCACTTTGGGCAGGTACGGAGCCCAGACGCGGCTTTCCCGAGTTGGACCAGGAAGACTAGTGGGGCGGGGTCTCAGACCGCCTCCACCTGAGCCTCGAAGGCGCCATTCTGCAACGCCTCACCCCTCTCCTGCCACAGCCTTCATTGGTGGCCAGCCCAGCGGGCTTGGAACCTTCATGCCCCAGCCGGCCTCATCCAGAGCATCTTGTCCTCACGTCGCCCATACCCAGGACTCCTGGTTTCCTGAAGCTTCCCACTAACGCCCGAGTCTGCTAAGCCCCTCCTCTTAGTGAAAGGCAGGGGGTGCGGGGGCGATAGTTACTGTGCACCACAATTTAATCTGGTAGGAGGGGGACGGTGCAAGAGTGTCTGGTGTCCCCCTGCCCTGTAGATGGAGTGCCTGAAACTGATCGCCTCCCCCAGGTTCTCAGACAAGAGGGTGGGCTACCTGGGGGCCATGCTTCTGCTGGATGAGAGACAGGATGCCCACCTGCTCATTACCAACAGCATCAAGAAGTGAGAGGGCCAGGGGAGGGCAGGGCTGGGGGTGCTGGGAAGCACTTGGATGGGAAAGTAGAGAAATGGGCAGGCCCTCGGGTGTCAGAAAGACTCTCCTCCCCACAGTGACCTGAGCCAGGGGGTTCAGCCAGTTCAGGCTCTGGCCCTGTGTACGCTGAGCACCGTGGGCTCAGCCGAGATGTGCCGGGACCTGGCCTCAGAGGTGGAAAAACTGCTCCTGCAGCCCAGCTCCTACGTACGCAAGAAGGTGAGGTGACAGGGCTGTGGAAACCAGCTGCAGTTTGCCAGGTGGTGGTAGAGGTTTGCCTTGGAGTTTGGTGGGGGCCAGCCCTGTCCTGAGCTCCGCCCTCTGCAGGCCGTGCTGACTGCGGTGCATATGATTCGGAAGGTCCCTGAGCTCTCCAACATCTTCCTCCCACCCTGTACCCAACTACTTCGAGAGCGCCACCACGGTAAGGCCACCAGTGTCCCCATCCCCCTGCCTCAGGCCTGCAGGAGTGAAAACCGGGGGCAGGGATACCAGCTCGTGGGAAGGTAGTGGGCACACACATGCAGTAGGCGCTCCCTTGCCCTGGGCCCATCTTTGGCTTCCCACCCTGACCCAGGCATCCTCCTGGGCACCATCACGCTGATCACGGAGCTCTGCGAAAGAAGCCCTGCAGCCCTTAAGCACTTCCGGAAGGTGGGCTGGTGGAGGAGCAGGCCCTGGGCCAGGGAAGAGGGGCAGTGGGGGAAGGACAGGGCTGGAGGCTGAGAGGGTGGGAAGACTGTCCAGACAAGGCCACGCCCTCTCTCCAGATGGTACCCCAGCTGGTGCAGATCCTCCACACTCTGGTGACATCAGGGTGCTCTACCGAACACAGCATCTCGGGAGTCGGCGACCCCTTCCTGCAGGTGGGCTGACCTTAGGTGCTGTGTGCCCAGAACAGAGAGAACAGGGCAGTGAGGCCAGGGCCGGTAGCTCCTGCCCAGTGGACGCTTTGGCTCGGTCAGCGGCTTGGGTAGGAAGGGGGCAAGATGTGATTGCCCATACCATCTTGGGACCCGTGTGTGAGGTCGGGGGAATGATAGGGTTTAGCCTTCCCCCCAAACCCAGTATGGCTCCAAAACCTTAAAAAAAAAACCTGTCCGCAAGCCCCCAGGCCTCAGATACATCAGAACCTTCCCAGGACCCCCGGGGCATGTGGTGTTGAGAGAGAGGGGCGGGGAGGCACCGGGGTGCCAGCCAGCCAGTCAGCCTGCCAGCCTCTCAACATGCCCTCCTCCATGTTGGATTTCTCTCCTCAGCCCCACGACTTCTTAGCCCCTGAGCCTCTCCACCTCTCAACCTTTAACTCAACTTCAGGTCCAGATACTTCGTCTGCTTCGGATTCTGGGCCAGAACCACGAGGAGAGCAGTGAGGCCATGAATGACCTGCTGGCCCAGGTGGGGGCTCAGCTGGGTTGCCCTGTGGCCGCATCCGCCCTGGGGCATCCACCATGAGGGGCTGTCTCATCATCTCTCTGGTCCTCTTGAGCCAACCCCACGCCCATCCTGGCTTTAGTCCAGAGTGGGGGCATGGGGGGGCTTGGTTGGATGGCTGAGGGATGGGCAGACAGCAGGTGGAGGACACAGCAGGGTCCCTTGCAGATGCATCTCCTCCTCTGACCCACCCAGGTGGCCACCAACACGGATACTAGCAGGAACGCAGGCAGCGCAGTCCTGTTTGAGACGGTGCTCACCATCATGGACATCCGCTCTGCGGCTGGCCTGCGGGTAGCTTGTGCTTCTCCACTGCCACCGCCACTGCCCCTAGGCAGCCCGGCCCCGTCCACTGCTTCCTCCCTCTTCCCACCCTCATCTGCCAGGTGGCCCCTGCTCCTGAACGAGCCAGCTTGCACCTTCCCTGACAGCCCCAACTTCTGCCTCCCGTAGGTCCTAGCCGTCAACATTCTTGGCCGATTCCTACTCAACAGCGACAAGAACATTAGGTAATTCCTCCTCCCACCCCACCCCCTACCCCCGCCGCGCCCCCACCCCCACCCCACGTGCCAAGGGTAGGGAGTGGGGATTGGTGACCAGGGATGTGAGAGGGTCTTCCCTATGTGCCAGGTATGTGGCCCTGACGTCGTTGCTGCGGTTGGTGCAGTCTGACCACAGCGCTGTGCAGCGGCACCGGCCCACTGTGGTGGAGTGTCTGCAGGAACCTGATGCCTCCCTTAGCCGGTGAGCAGAGCTGGGTGCGAGGCCCCTGGCACATAGCCTCTAAGCACACACACCCCCACCCTGAGCGGGCCACTCCTGGTGAAGCCGCTGGGCGACGGTGGGTTGAGCCCTCTCCTTTCTTCTGCCAGGCGGGCCCTGGAATTGAGCCTGGCTCTGGTGAACAGCTCCAATGTGCGAGCCATGACCCAGGAGCTGCAGAGCTTTCTGGAAGTCTGTCCCCCTGACCTGCGGGCCGACTGTGCGTCGGGCATCCTGTTGGCTGCGGAGAGGTGAGGTGGCAGGGGCCCAGGAGGCAGAGGGGTGGAACCGGGAGAGGGTCCAGACCAGGACTGACGACCTGCCCGTGCCCAGGTTTGCCCCCACCAAGCGGTGGCACATAGACACGATCCTGCGCGTGCTGACAATGGTGAGGCAGGGGCTGGCCTGGGGGAGCCGGGCGGCATGGGTGGCTTGTCCTCACAGCGCTGGCTTGGCCGGGCTCGCTCCCCAACTCAGGCAGGCACCCATGTGCGGGATGATGCCGTAGCCAACTTGACCCAGCTGATTGGTGGAGCCCAGGAGCTGCATGCCTATTCTGTGCGCTGTCTCTACAGCGCCCTGGCAGAAGACATCTCCCAGGTGGGGAGCCCAGGCCCGTCCAGTCGCTCCTCAGCCCCCTACTCCCGGTGCCCGACTCTGCTACTTTGACTCCTCAGGGAAGAGGGCCCTCTTCAGTTTCTCCGTCTCTGATGCCTGTGCCCCGCCCGCCTCGTGGCAGCCCTGGGAATCAGCTGCACGCATGTTGCAAGTGCTGGCGTCTGGTACCTTAAATGCTGAGATGGGCAGATGCTAGCCACTATCTGCAATCCATTTGCCCTTTATCAAGTGGGGTGTGCGGAAGCCAGCCACTCCTTCAAGGGAGGAACCCCAGAAACCCTTTCGCTGCAGCGGAAGGCCTCACAAGGCGATTGTGCCAAACTCGGCCGCCAGAGGGCAGTGGGCACCCACTTGCCAGGACAGAGCCTGGTTACAAAACTGGACTCTTGAACAACAGCTGTGTGCCTGGCCCTTCCTTTCCCCGCCCCTGCACTGCCCAAGAGGGGAAAGGGGGAGATGGTCTGGAGGTAGTGGGGGACCTCAGACACCGATCTGGAGCTATTTCTCTCTGGGGCAGCAACCGCTGGTCCAGGTGGCTTCCTGGTGCATCGGGGAGTACGGGGACCTCCTGCTGGAGGGGAGCTGTGAGGAAACGGAGCCTCTCCAGGTGAGGCCCGCCTGCATAGGGGTGCGCTGAGGAGGGCAGGGCTGGCCCTTGGGGTCACTGCCAGTGCCTACTTCTGAAAGGTGGAAGAGGAGGAGGTGTTGGCGCTGCTGGAGAGGGTGCTGCAGTCCCACCTGTCCCTGCCGGCCACCCGGGGCTACGCCCTCACCGCCCTCATGAAGCTCAGCACCCGGTTCCGCGGGGACAACAAGTAAGATGGGGGGCCCAGCCCCTCCCACAGGGCCCCCAGGAAGTCCTC